CCATGAGCGTACAATACACTAACTCAACCCCCAGCCATTGTGCAACCCAATGGTATCACCACCATGAGAAGAGCTAGCCGATATAGGCGGTGCCTCCTCCGCATGTCCATTCACACCATTCACCTTCGTCCTATTCACCCCTCCTCCACCCTTCCCCTCCAACGTCCCCAGCCCACCCACGAGCATCTTGCCCTTCACATTATCCGCGCGCAGCACCTCCAAGCCCTGCAAATACGCCTCATCGACGCCGCCCGTGACGTACTCGCCCGTGAACACCGAACAGTCGAACCGCCCGATGCGCGGGTTGAGGTGGCGCACGGACTCGACGAGATCGGGGAGGGTTTGGAAGATGACGAGGTCTGCGCCGATGGCGGATGCGATTTCCTCGGTTGTGCGTTCGTGCGCGACGAGCTCCATGCGCGAGGGCATGTCGATGCCGTAGACGTTGGAGTATCTGTGTGAAGGCGTGAGATTGCTGGCGAGGGTGAGACGGAGGAGGATGCGCATATACCTGATTGGTGGCGCACAACTTGCTACGATCACGCTCTTGGCTCCCACATCCTTCGCCATTTGAATGATCTCTTTTGACGTGGTGCCTCGTACAATGGAATCTGCACTTGGCAATCAGCTGTGTTCTCACATGCGAGCAACGGCGACGTACCATCCACAATGAGGACGTTTTTGTTGGCAAACTCCAACGCCATAGCGTTGAGCTTCCGCCGTACATTCTTCCGCCGCATTGTCTGACCAGGCATGATGAATGTTCGGCCGACGTAACGATTCTTGATAAATCCTTCTCGGTACGGGAGGTTCAGCTTTTGCGCTAGGTTCAAGGCAGCGACGCGGGATGTGTCTGGTACCTGGTGATGAGGGAAGAGTTTCAGACACGCACGCGAAAAAGAGAAGATTGGTCACGTACCGGAATGACAACGTCTACTGACAGGTTCTTCTCCTTGAGCACTCTTTGAACCTCAATGGCCAGAGAATCACCCATGGCCATTCGACTACGGTACACGCTGATGCCATCCAAGACGGAGTCCGGACGCGCGAAGTAGACGTATTCGAAGATGTCCGGCGCAAACGCGGCAGCTTTTCCGACTTGTCGTCTGCTTACACCGGAGCGAGTGATGATGACAGCCTCGCCTAAGATACATGGTCAGAACCCAGACGGGATCGGTGTGAGGGAGGAACTCACCAGGACAAACATCCTCCCAGTTGACAAACCCACTCGCATCCGCAACGACGCTCTCGCTCGCAAACAGATGATCCATCCCAGACCCCGACTTCCTCGACGCCATCCCCAACGGTCGAATCCCGTTCGGATCCCTGAACGCGATGATCCCGAACCCAGCCAGCATCGCGGTGCACGCGTACGCGCCTTTGCATTGCTCCATCAGCCCTCCGATCGCGGTGAAGATATCCTCTTCGTTGATACGGAACTTGCCCGTCTTTTGCAGGTTGTCGGCGAAGATGTTGAGCAGGAGCTCGGAGTCGGAGGTGGTGTTTATGTGGCGGTGGGCGGTGGCGTCCATGAAGTGTAGAAGCTCGGCAGTGTTGATAAGATTCCCATTCTGTTTTGACGCCACTCTGGTAAGTATGAGCGTTACCGGCGAAGTTGAGTGGCACTTACATGGGCGAACACGATACCGTAGGGTGAATTGACATAGAACGGCTGAGCTTCGGCATGGTGCGAGCTGCCTGCAGTAGGATATCTCACTGTAGATGTTATAAGATCAGCGTATGCAGAACGCATAAAGATCAGAGCATCTCACCATGTCCCACACCCATTCCGCCAATCAGCCTGGACAAAGCATTGGCATCGAAGACGTCGCGAACCATGCCATTGGCCTTGCATTGGAAGAAGCGACCTTTGGGACCACAGGTGATGATACCGCAGGCATCTTGACCACGGTGCTGCAGCAAAGAAAGACCTTCGCAGATCTCTGGCGCAACATCCACCGAGGGATCATGAGAGAGGAGACCTAGGATGCCGCACACTGGTGGTCCGATCGTGAGTGGATGGCCATCAGCAGGATCACGCGGGGAACACTCACTGCTTCGCTGCGAGGACGTCTACTACCGGAAGGATAAATAGAGGCAAGAGAAGGAGGGTGTGGTGGATTAGGACCAACGTGGGCTGGCTTATAATTACGGGAATATGGGAGACTGCATGTCGTTGAATCAGGCAGAAATTTTGTGCAGCCTTAGAGAGAGTTCGGACCGGGCGGTGACAGAGATTATTTCGGAGCACTGTCGGGGGTCGCCGTGCTGGCCGACCCCCAACGCGTCGCGGTCGGTGTCGTGTCGGACGGCGTGCACGGGTGCTGCACGTCGTGCATGATGGCGAGCACACCATGCGGCATAAATGCATAGAATATTGTATGTCATGAAGGGGTAAATGAGCATGCAGCATCGCGCGAGTGGGGGGAGGGCGCGGAGGGCTCGGCAGGGGTCGGAGGAAGTCGGCACGCGGGGATCAAGCTGAGCGTGAAAAAGAGTTTATACGTGGACAGGCGGGGGGTCGCTCGCTGCTGTCTCCCATCCTCCCCAACGTCGACGTCGTCCACCATGCTCTCCTCACGCGGCGTATCCCGCCTCTCGCGCAGAGCGCTGCAGAGTGCGAAGAAGACCAACGCGTTCTTCTCTTCCTCTGCTGCCGCCCCCATCCTCGCAAGGGCCGCTTCCGCTCCTTCCTCTTCGCACCAGCAGGCCCGTCCTGCCCGTGCTGCTCCCCAGGCTGGTCGGTGTTTTCTGCTGTCTGGGTCTTCCGAATGATGCTAACGCGAAAGGCACTCGTTCTGCGCACCCAAATTGCCCTTATTTCCGCTTTAGCCCGCTCATATGCGACCGAAGCCAAGGCAGCATCCGGCCACGTCAAGACCGTCATTGGTGCCGTCGTCGATGTCCAGTTCGACACCGAGAACCTCCCTCCCATTCTCAACGCCCTGGAGGTGACTGACTTCAACGGTGGTCGTCTCGTTCTCGAGGTGGCTGCTCATTTGGGTGAGAACTCGGTCCGTACCATTGCCATGGACGGTACCGAGGGTCTCGTTCGTGGCCAGAAGGTCATCGACACCGGTGCTCCCATCCGTATTCCCGTCGGCAAAGCCACCCTTGGTCGTATCATGAACGTCATTGGTGAGCCCATCGACGAGAGGGGTCCCATTGAGGGCGTCAAGCTCTCTCCCATCCACGCCGAGCCCCCTCCCTTCGTTGACCAGTCTACTACCGCTGAGGTGCTCGAGACCGGTATCAAGGTCGTCGACTTGCTCGCTCCCTACGCTCGTGGTGGAAAGATTGGTCTTTTCGGTGGTGCTGGTGTCGGCAAGACTGTGCTGATTCAGGAGCTCATCAACAACGTCGCCAAGGCTCACGGTGGTTTCTCAATCTTCTGCGGTATGTGACGTGTCAATTCAAGCGAAAACGCGTTTCTTATGCATTTTTTCATAGGTGTCGGCGAGCGTACTCGTGAGGGTAACGACTTGTACCATGAAATGATTGAGACTGGTGTCATCAACCTCGACGGTGACTCCAAGGTCGCGTTGGTCTTCGGTCAGATGAACGAGCCCCCTGGTGCCCGTGCCCGTGTCGCCCTCACCGGTCTCACTATCGCCGAGTACTTCCGTGACGAGGAAGGCCAGGATGTGTTGTTGTTCATCGACAACATTTTCCGTTTCACTCAGGCCGGTTCCGAGGTGTCTGCCCTTCTCGGTCGTATTCCCTCTGCTGTCGGTTACCAGCCCACGCTTTCCACTGACATGGGTGGCATGTGCGTATTTTCACTGAGACAATTTTTGGAGTGCTGGTCTGACGTATGCGTATAGGCAAGAGCGTATCACCACCACCAAGAAGGGTTCCATCACTTCCGTGCAGGCTGTCTACGTGCCCGCTGACGATTTGACGGATCCTGCTCCGGCTACCACTTTCGCTCACTTGGATGCCACCACTGTGTTGTCCCGTTCCATTGCTGAGCTCGGTATCTACCCCGCTGTCGACCCCCTCGACTCGAAGTCCCGCATGTTGGACCCCCGTATCGTACGTTTCTGCGACCTTGTGTATCTTGCATCATTCTGATGAGCCTCGTTCAGGTCGGCACGGAGCACTACGAGGTCGCGACCGCTGTCCAGAAGATCCTCCAGGACTACAAGTCGCTCCAGGATATCATTGCTATCTTGGGTATGGACGAGTTGTCAGAAGAGGACAAGCTGACTGTAAGTGCCTGTATGCTGCTCAAAAAATGATGACGTACTCAATTGCCTTCTGTGCAGGTCGAGCGTGCTCGTAAGATCCAGCGTTTCATGTCCCAGCCCTTCGCTGTTGCCCAGGTCTTCACCGGTTTCGAGGGCCGTCTCGTGCCCCTCAAGGACACCATCCGGTCGTTCAGGGAGATCCTCTCCGGCGCGCACGACACTCTCCCCGAGTCTGCCTTCTACATGGTACGTTCCCAAGTCCACCCTTTCCCTCCTTCCCAACCTGTGTCTGACGTGTGTTGTTCGTTGTAGGTCGGTACCATCGAGGACGTCAAGACGAAGGCCGAGCAGCTCGCCAAGGAGATGGGTGATTCATAGTTCTTCCAACTTTATTCGTATAGATAGAGGATATGTAATGGATCAGCGTGCTTTCCGTTGGATGCCTAGTACATCCTCCCAAAATGTGAATGTCATGCGTTTCGTCCTTTCCTTATGAGCGTGCGTGAATGAGGCCCGACACTGAGGTTCTCTTCGCCGACCTTCTCGTTCGGTATGTTCTAGCATGTGGTGGTGTGCCGCAGTGTGCCTGGCAACACGTTACCTATGCACCGTCTACTTCGACGTCCATTCCAGCTGTCCACCGTCGCCGACGTCTCGATCGTCGTCGATCGGGTGAAAACTTCTCGGGCGTTTACCCGCCTCCTTCCCAAATAGGCATCTTCGTCGGTCCTCCTCGTTTTCCCTTGCTTTCTGGCCGTTCCAGACGATGCAAAAAACGTTTCTGGACCTTGGAAAGAGTCTAAAAAGCAATGCCAGGACCGTGGATTGAACACGGGACCTTCAGAAAGCACAAACGGCCACTCGGACTCCGTACAAAGCCCAAGCGGCCGTAAGCAACTTCAGTCTGCTGCTCTCCCAACTGAGCTATCCCGGCTTGTGTTTCATGCGTCTCGGATTCTTTACTCATTTTGATTGTGATTCACACGAGCTTTCGAGACCTCCTCATGACGTCCTCTTCTCCGGTCCGGATGATTTGGCCGATCATTTCGAGTCTAAGTTCGCCATGATCTCCGAGTTTGCTTCTCTGTGCGTACTATCGCCGCACGAAGTACAATATGGGTAAGCAGTGCTCTTCCATGTATCTCAAAACATACACTGACTATGGGCATGAACGTAGGCACCTCACTCTGGTTGGTTCCTGATCCCGAGACCTCCTCGAAGCTGAGGAGGATCATGGACAAGACAACCAGCGGCGCAACGTCGCCTTCGTCCTATCCTATCTTCCACCCACATCTCACACTCACAACCGTACCTTCGACAACACCTGAGTCTGTCTTGCGAGATGCAATCGAAACCACTCAAGTTCAAGTCCCCATCACCTTCAAATCCGTCGACGTCGGACCCAAATATTTCATGTCCGTATACGCTCAAGCCCAACGAACCCCCGAGCTGATCGCGCTCCGCGCCCACCTCTCCTCCAAGCTAGGCGAGAAGACCGTCCCGCCCATCCCACACATGTCCATGTTCTACATCGACGACGCGGATGCGGGGGAGCGGCAGAAGCTCGCGGATCTGTTGCGCGAGGAAGGGAGGGTGGTCGACGCGCCTGGGGGAGGGTCTGTGCTGCTGGATTGTTCGGAGGGGGAGGAGAGGGGCGTGGATGTGCTTGGGGGGTTTGGTGGGAAGGAGATTTGGGTTATGGTGTGTGATGGGCATCCGAGGGAGTGGAAACGGAAGGGCGAGGTGATTTATCTGTGAGTGACGTTCTCGCAGAGCTCGATGGATACTCGACTGAGACTGCCTAATAGGAAATAAAGGTTCCCACATATCACACGGGAGGATGATGTGTAGTAGGGATCTTTATAGCAGCAAAAGCTAATGATACAGTGTAATATGTACTTGACCAAAAGGTCCAGGCTGTAAAGTATACAGGATTACGAATACTTGTGTGACGCACTTCGGTGTTTTTTCCGAACAGTAAGGCCGTTGCGCTCGCGCAAGGAAGAGGGCGGTCGACGTAAAAAGGAGAAGAAGCGAGGGACAGAGATCGAAAACGAATGAAAAGACATAAAGACCGTGATATGCGAATGAGAGCGTCAACGAGCGTGAAAGTGAGGCGAGGAACAAAAGAAAGCGAGGAGAGCAGGAAGATCGAATGGATAGCAATGGTACAAGCTGCGAGCAAAGACCGAGAGTGAGGAGAAAGGATGGGGGTATGCAGAGCGAAGCGATGAGAGATTATGATGGCGTAGAGGCGTTTTCTTCTTCATTCGGAGCCTCGTCCTTGTTATCCACCTCTCGAGGCGTATACAGCGGAAGAGGAACCGAGTAGTCTATTTTCCTATCCCCGTTGGAGTCGAACAACTGAGAGTACGCGGGGAGCGATTGAGCGTAAGGGAGGCTGGGAAGCGGGAGTTCGCATGGCGAAGTGCGTCCTGACGATGAGGGAGAGCAGAATCCCATGGGTGATGGCGAGGATGTCCGCGACGCCGATGGAGAGGGCGGAGGGACGCGAACGAAGCGCAAAGGGACGCAGAAGTTGAGTCGCTCCGTGGCGCGCACGGGCTCGTTCCCGTCAATGAGGTCGTACGTGCAGACCACGGTCACCAACAGACGGTGGTTGACGTCAAACAGTGGGCTCTGGCCAGACGACCTCAGCCTGCGCCTTGCTCTCCAGTCCTTGTCCACTTGTATATCTTCGTGAGAGACGGGAATGTTGGTAGACAGGGAGTACCAAGTGACGTTGTCCCCGGCGTGAGCATCCTGCGTGAACACGTATCCATTGCCTGCGAGTGTGTAGCGGCCGGAGAGGTCGTCAGGCATGATGGAAAATGCACGAGCGAGGACGTGACGTGGCGGAGGATATGGTGCGACACCGAGCTCGTAGAGGGAGTGAACTGGATGTGCACTTAGAAGAGGCTTGAAAGGAGGCTGCTCTCGTCGAGGTGGTACTGGATACTGAGCGCAATACGAAGTCGAAGGTTGTGTGCTGGATGCAAGAGTTGTGAGTTAACTGCGAGTGAAGAATCGCTCGCAGGACATACCAATAACGCTCGTGTTGCTCTAGATCAACTGCGAATTCAGTGACTCGCAGTCGTTTGCAATCCTCCTCTGGCAGCCCGGTTGTACGAAGTCGGAGAGAGAAAGGAACGGTATCTTCGTCTGTCCCAACGTGTTCGGGCACCGAACAGACAACACGGAGACCAGAAAGGATATGAGGAGGAATGCGCGCGGAAGAGTCGTCCTCATCTCGAGCCTCAGGTTGCGCAGAAACGTGATAATTTGCAAGGGGAAAAAGAGACGTGGAAGAAGAAGCGTGATATGGAGTGCTCATGAAACGGTTCAAGGTGATAGGACACTTGGGAGCCTTCACGGTACGGAGAGGGGAGAAACGGAATGGATTGCAAAGGGTAGACAGCCAGGTGCTGGCAGAACAGTCATCGACACTCTCGAATTTGGCAGATGCGTGCAGGGCGTAGCGAGTACCGGTCTCGCCACCCGTCTGGATATCGCCGAAGATAGACGAGGGAGGAAGCCAGCCCGGAACGGTCAAGTTGAAGACCACGTTCCATGTGCATGGCTTGTCCATATCGTCGTTGTCTTCCGCGTTGAGCTCAATGGGTTCTCCGGGAGCAAGCTCCTGGGAGATGGCGCATAACCGTACGGCGGAATAGGTCGTCTCATGAGCGAGCAGCTCGGATTGACCCTCGAAGGTGACGACTAGGGAACGCAGGAGGAGCCGGAAAGCGCGTCTTCGAGGAAAGAGGAAGGACTTGTTCGACATGGAGATGACAACATGCCCAGAAATCGAGTATGCAGCACTGGAAGTGGCAGAATAGTGAGCTGTGACATAATCCTCATTCGGAAAGTAAGAATACGCACGAGCGATCCGGCTCTCCATACATATCGAGTGAGTCTGCAAAGGGGACGATCTCTATGGAGACCGACATTGCAGGCAGAGAGGCAGAGACAGTAAAGACACCAGAGACAGAGACTATCTTGTTATAGAGGGTGGGGAGACGACGTTGTCATCTTGAGGCCAGTCGATATATAAAGCAGCCTTGCTTTGAACAAAAGGGATTCTCCATGCAGATAAAGGACCGAAAGAGATTTTCCGTTCGGTAATCATGGTTAGAACGTAGAAAGCGTGCTTTGGCCCTGGTCTGCCCGAGCGTGAGGGTTTTGTCCAGCAAGTCCTTTGTTCTCTGCAAGCAGAAAGGCCTAAAAGAGGCACGCGTTGCTGACAAAGCAAGACGGCGCCACACTTTTGGCGTCTACGCGCGTACCTCCTCCGAAAGAACAATGGCCTTTCAGCTCACCAGTTTCCTCTGACGTGCATCGTACGTACGAGCTCCCATCCTCATTTTGACTTTTCGCGTCGTCGGGAGAGCCAAAACCAACCGCGGGAAGATTCGAGCTGCGATGGCTACTGTCCTCGTCGACTTCTCGACCCAGATCTCCTCGTAAAGTCTGATCCACGACGCGTTCGCCAGGGTTCATACAGTCGATCGCGTTCTGCTTTCGCTACGCCCCGCACTTGGACCTCTACGGACCGCCGTTTGCCAGTCAAAGCCTTCTCAGGCGGTCTGACTCCATATGATCTAGCCCTTACTGTGCCCGACGTCAACGCAGTCCAAGCACCGATTACCGTCGACAATTGCTCGCCGCGTCGCTTCACCTTCTCTATTGTACATGCCGATGAGTCCGTTCAAATTCTGAGCCCCACTATTCTCTCGTACCAGATGTCATGGCAACATATGAGCTTTCGGAATGTTGATCATTCGTGCACATGCCAGTCGTTCGTGAGAGACGCCTCGAGCTCGGTCTTCACAATTGTCTCGCTGTCAAATGCGTGCTATTGATACCATTGCAGACATCTGTGACTCTCCGTCGAATACAGAGGACACTACGAAAGCAAACATATCATGCGGTATGTCATGTTGCCGCCAAAAACGCATCGCTGGCGCAGGCTCACAATAGTACATGTCCATATTGGCATCAGTGCGGATTCCGTTCTCATTTCTGCTGTGAAGCTGGATGTTGTGCAGAATACTGGGCTAGAGCAATTACTTTGACAAGAAGGTGAAGACATCTAGCAATTCGTTGTTTATAAGTCCGTCGCTGCGCAGTTGCGCGACCAGCACGGGCTACTTTTGGGTTCCTCCAGAGGCTGTACCGAGTACTACTTGACAACTTGAAGTTCCCACTGTCCGTAGTCGTTGAAGCGCTTGCATATCCACGCAAGTTATGTTGCCCAGAGATTGACCCGTTGAAGAGGGCACGAAGAGTGGAAGGAATCAAGACGGTGCCCTTGAAGGTTGAAGTTACTTTGAAGTCGGCGGAGAACGTGTGCGGACGGGGCGGCGGGAGATGCCGAGAGTGTGGGCTTGTTTGGCCCCAGCGTGATGCTCGCCGTGATCGCCATCGACCGACATCCTCGACCGTCACAACCTCCTCCCAGTCCTCCCTCCCTCCCTCGTCGTCGTCCAACACAGCGTCCAGCACACACCGCCCGTCGTTGTCTGCGTCGCTCGCATCGTTGCCCCCGTCCTCATCGCCGTCCCCGTCTGTGACGGTTGCTACCCAGGTAAGTCGCATGAATGGCGGCGCAACTCTCACTCCCTCCTCCCAAGTCCCCCTCCTCACCACCCACACTCCCTCCCATTCAGAACTTACCGTCCCGACACCCTCTCCAAACCCCCATCCTATTCCGTGAACCGTGCTAACGGGACCTTGACCTCCCCCGTGAAAACTGAAATCGCATCATGCCAGAACCTGACTCGACGCGGAAGAGGTCTCGTTCTCCCTCCGATACTGACCAGCCAAAGCACAAACGAGCCAACACAGGCGCCACCTCTCACACGGATGACTCACTTCCAAGGTCTCTTCCCGCGAGGCTTCCTCCTTCTACCGCCACGGCCTCCAAGGACGATG